CAATGCCAGGGTCAGTGGGACTTCCAGCACTCTGTTGGAAATAGTGGAGCTGTTCTAAAATAGTTGGAACTGTTCTAAAATGGTTTTATTACTTACAAATAGGAGGGGACACCAGGGCACTACTGGCATCGTAACCACTATAGTGCAATGTAGTAGTTTTGTTGCTTTGAGTGTTCCTTTAGCAATGAGTGATGTTGCATTTTGACTGAACTAAGACTGATGTAGCTATTTTCAGGGGCTTAAGGCTGCTGGCAGAGTTAATATTCACTGGCAGGTTATTCCATGGATTTGTTGAAGAAATCTTTTCAACAACATACTTTTCAGGTGGGAATAGAAATTAAATAAGTGAAGGTGTAACATAGTTTAAAAGAAGGGGAGGAAACAAAAGTAAGCGATATTGCCATGGTAGTATGGGAGTCTTCCAGGCAAGTGAGTATAGTGAAGAGTACATTTAGATTTAAGTATAATTTCTAACCTTGTCTGTAGAAATATCTACCAAAAGCAATTAGATATGAGTGAACACAAATACTGACAAGTTTCCAACCTCATCAGTATTTCTGTAAAGTCTCACTATAGGCATCAAACAACTTTAGTTTAACAAAGTGGTTTTGGTGTTTAGTGTGTCACTATTCTATTCTCTGAATTTAGGAGTCAGGTGACTGTCTATACAGCCCCATCCACACCTCCATTAGCTGTGACTTATACAGTCTCCCGTTACACCTTCTGAAAAGGAAGTCTAAAGATTGTACTTTCTCCTATAGCACAGTGTGTTTAATTTAGAGTCTCTTATCTCCGTCATTTACTTATCTACTGAGGCCTGCAGGAGCCTTGTGTGTGATTAAGCTAAACTAACAATGCACGAGATAAAAACTTTTAGTAAACACTAGACATGTGCATTGTAAAATAAAAATTGATTTAGCCGAATTAATTTATCAAAAAAAAATAATAGTTTAGATCGATTTTAAATTCAGTCACGTGCCTTTTCAGTTCAGATTACTTTTTTTTTTTATGCAAATGTTTAAGGAAAAATGATTCAGAGCAGCTAAAAGAAGAGAAAACTGGCCAGTCAGTGTACTGCTAAATATATACATAATCTAAATATAATGCATATATTTTGCAGTACATTCATAGATGCATTTTCCTGCCATTTGCTTCACAAATCAAGAGACCTAAATAACCAATATGTTTTTCGAATTTGGTTAATGGAATGCAGTTCCCTACACTGGATATTGAAATAACCAATAGAGGGATAAAAAGGAGGAGCAGTAAAAAAAACCAAAAAACTACATTTATATATGTTATTTTTTGAATAAATATATACATCTATTTTTACTGCCCTACTTTTTTCCCTCAATTGGTCATTTCTCATTAGATCCGTGATTAAAACCAACATTTAGTGGCTGCCCCAAATCATCCTTTTCCTACATCTGCTTGACCCACCACCAGGGATGTGTAGCTAGGGTTGTATAAAAAGAAACAAAATGTTATTTAACGTTTAAATGACAGAGATAAAAGCAGTGAGACTGCACCAAAACTGCTTCATAAACAGGGTTACTCACTAAACACCAGATTTTGTGCGTATTGGTGAAATTCTGTGAAAATGGCCAAATTCTAACTGGAATGGCTATTCACATAATTACTAAAGTCAATTCCAGTCAGACTTCAGTCAGCCCAACCAAATTTGGACAAATCTACTGGATGCATTCGGTGGCTGGTTCAAAAACAGTGGTTATCACATCTGAAACCTATACATAGTATAGGATCTGTAATATTTACAATGCACTCATTTTAATTTAAATTGGTAACAATAGGATCCGGCAGTTATCATTTGCTTCAAAAAGAAAGTAGCTAGTTGTCAAATAGTAAAAAAAATACACACACACACAAAAACAACCTCTTGGCAGTGCGAGGTTAACCCATGTGGTAGCTGGCCAGTAAGAAAGCCAGTGGGAGTGTATGTAACCCACATATTAGTGGAGTGTAAGTTTTTAACCTCCCTATACCCCCACAGGGTATATCTACGAAAAAGTAGGCGGCCACTGTGAGGACAGAAATTCAATAGTTAGGTGTGTGCAAGTCACCAGATTTAATTACAGTGAGCAGTCGCTGGCTTCTTCCTGTTTCTGTTTAGAAGTTTATGAACCCACGCATGGTGGAAGCATAGGGGAAATAAAAAAATTATATGGAAGTCATATCGACCCTCAAAGTCTTTTTTTTTTTTTTTTACATTTAGATGTGGCAGGTGGCTAGTAAGCACTGGCAAGACACTACTTGTTTAACCCTTGTTCCGCTGAGGATTTTTAAATTATTTGCCTTTTGGTGTTTGCAGACATAAGTAAAAAACCCTATAAGCTAAACTTGTTTTTGTGCTAAGAATGACACTATAAGCATCATGCACGCATTTTATTAATATGACAGTCTAGTCTTTAAAGATACCACTCAGTTAGTTGGCACCAGCTGCACCACCTCTGCAAACTTCACAGTTGCAAATTCTATTCTCTTTGTTTTCCAATGTGTAGAAACTTGCCATTTTTTTTTTTTTTATTTGGAACTGTAAACCAAATATTTAACCTTGCGGTTACAGTTTTCTGCACATCATTTATAGGATTTCATTATTGGTATGTTATGTAGTTTTAGTAATAAAACCATTCTTTACTAAAACTTTTATTTAATCTAACCTAAAAATATTGATCTTTGTTTATGTATTTATTTTCCTCCGTATTCAAACATTCACAAAGCAATATGTTTTTGTATGGATGAGAGAGATTGAGTTAGAAAACAATAGGAACATTTGAACAATAAATGACAATCAGCAGAATAATAACATTGCATACATACAAAAAAACTGAGTTCATCAGAACGACATGATATAATCAGATAATATGGTGATATAATCAGAAATCATGCTTTGACATTTACCCTAGGGTCATTGTACAGCGCTACGGAATCTGATATAATAATAATAATAATACGCATCATTAGCCAGTGTTATAGGGTGACTCAGAGTTTGAAGAAAGTTGTTTCATATGGACCAGATACTTGTATTCAACTTATATCTACCAAATAAAAAGCATTACAACTCATACATCAGAGTTGTAATTATTTATTTTACTTTTGCTTTATATTTTGAAAGAAGTAGCTCTTCTCCAAAAGGAAAGGATTACTGATTATTCGGCATTAACTCGTTTTCCTGGCACTATAGTGCTAATAGGTGCCCCCCACCCTCATGGCCCCCCTCCTGAAGGAGGAGGAAGGGGTTAAAGGCTTACCTTTCTCCATCGCCGTGCTCCCTAGGCACTGGGGACTCTCCTCCCTCTTCTGATGTCATGGGCTGAATGCGCACGCGCGGCAAGAGTCGTGCGCGCATTCAGTCAGTCCATAGGAAAGTATTCTCAATGCTTTCCTATGGACACTGGCGTCTTCTCACTGTGATTTTCAATGAGACAGCCACTAGAGTCTGGAAACTGCTATGTTTTACAGCAGGCAGGGTTAAACCTAGATGGACCTCGCACCCAGACCACTTCATTGAGCTGAAGTGGTCTGGGTGCCTATAGTGGTCCTTTAACCTTTTACGGTCCTAGGATTTTCCCGTTGAGAGTACCGTAGTATCGGATGATCGGCGGAACTCTCCAGGGACTGCAAGAGTTAAAATATTTTGTCAGATAAATTCCGAAATAGGACTGCAAAGGGTTAAATAAGTGGACTAAGTTAAGGATATTCTTAAAAATACTATGCCTACTATTTTAGTGAACGTTTTTCTTTTTGTTTTAGATAGTTTTCTGTGCAAAAAATCTTAAAATGTATTATCATTCCTTTTATTTTAAACGCACAAGCAAGTTGTTTCGTGCTGCATATAGCTCAATAATAAGAGAAAGATTGATACCTTACTGATTACAGAGTTTCGTTTCCAGATACATTTCTACATCTGTATTTGCTATTTTATACTGTTAGTTTAAATATATAGAGAGTAATATATTTAATCAAGAAACATGCAGAGCTTTTGTTTGCTATCTTCCTTTACTTCTCTTCAAGTTTAGATTCCTCCTCTGCACTACACATCTTCAGTTCTGATTTCTCTGGAGTGTGTAATGCACTCATTCTCTACTTAAAGGTATACACTTTTGAAACTCATGCTACACAAGAATACTTACTATGACAGAGTGGATTGCAAAAAAATAAGCAACAGATGCTGTAGCCATTGTGGATTCGTGACAGAAGATAATTACAGAGACATACTGTTCACAGGAGAATTTTCAACAAGATTGTAACTGCACCAGACCTTGATACATTGTGAAAGATAAGAGACTGTTTTATTTATTTATTTTACAGCAGGATGCTGTTTCTGATAATATAAAATGAAATTGCTTAAAGAGGGAAAAGGGAATTTAAAGTTTAGTCTTAATGTATCATTTTTAAAAAATACATTTTATGACACCCATTCTTAGAGATTGCATGTGACAATTAATTGATTAGCTAATGATCTGTTATGAAACCAAGATGGCTGCACTCACCTGAGCATGCATGCAATATAAGGGTGCTGCTGGGGCCAATTCATGCTACATACAAGATCCAGCGCACTCACTCATTCACTAAACAGGAATTTCAAATGTTATCGTTTTAAATAAACAAAAAAACACTTTACCTAGAAAAAAATAACGGGGTTTAGTTATTGTATATGATCATACATTGTATAAGCCTGTCAAAACATCAATATACCCAATTCTTGGTAGGTCCTACTCTAGCAACATAATATCTGGAGACTGACCACCAATGCGGACAGATGTGTGTCCCATGCTCTCCCTCTCAGGAATTACCATCAGCCACAATCAGAACGTTTTACCAGGCATCCAGCCACCAACAAGACACTAAGAGCCTCCCAAAAGCTTACCCGATCAGCGACGACATGGGAGGCACAAAAAAAAGAAGGACTTAACGCCATCGGTGGCCACGATGTTCCGGGCCTTGAGAACAGGGGCGGCCATCTTTAAGCCAAGGCCTACATGGCTCGGGCTCTGAATCCGATGGCAGCAAAGTTTCGGTGGGACAACAAGCCCTGCTAAGGAAGCAAGACCTCCGTCACATGCTACAGGAGGCCACTGCAGAAATTAAACTGCACACAGCAACAGAGCTCGAAAAGAAGACTTTGAGGCCTTAACGGAACACACCATACAGGCTGAAACAGACATAATGAACCTAAAAGCAAAAACCGCCCAACACAACCAAGATATATTTTACCTGAGTGACAAGCTGCAATTCCTGGAAGATAACCTCGATGAGGAACAATCCGAGGCCTTCCGGAAACAGTACTGGCAGATGCCATCTTGCCCACACTCCAGGAGTTATTTCAAACTCTCCTACCTGATACTACAGCTCAGGACCGGGAAATAGAAAGGGCACATCCGACTGCCAGCATTTAACACCACAGCCCCAAGAGACTGTGGCTGCTCCACTTCACCACCAAGGAAAGGCTTATGGTAGTCACAAGAGTTGCACCACATAGACACCAGAGGCACAAGATCTGGCACCCACAATGTTAAAGAAGCGGACAGAACGCAAGCCCCTCACATTAGCGCTGACCCAGCAAAGACTTAAGTACCTATGGGGACACCCCTTCAAGCTGACATTCCAACAAGGAGACCAGGAATATACCCTCAATCATTCAGTGGACATGGAGGACTTCGCTTCCACACTAGGCCTTGCCCTGCAAGCAGCGGACCAAGAGCTCCAAAAAAGCAGCTCCAAAAAAAGCAAGCAACACCCTGCTCCCTCCGAGACAGATTACAGGAAAGAGACCACAACAGCAGCCCAGAGGCCCCGTCCTAGGCCTCACCGGATGAATCGTCTGACGAACTTTGCACAAATCCTAACCAGGGAGCCGAAACTCACTGTTCATAACCAGGTTGTGGGGATATTTATGGGATGATAATATTATACATCTGAGAATTGCCAACTGTTTTAATTCTCTTAGATCTTAGAGATCGTTATCATGTAAGTGAAATGTATTCCATACAAATAAAATCACAATTTGTTAGAAAATAGATATAATTTATTGTGACAAATAAAATAATATTAGGCAGCATGCATGATAATAATCAGTGAATATTTACTATAACATCGTATACAATGGCTAAACACAGTACAAAGCTACAGCATCAACTGTCAAGACTTACAAGATTTATGAGGGTACTTCACAGACACAGAAAGCAAAACTTCACACAGCACAGCGAAAAGCAATAAAATCTTGGTTCAGTTAGATCAACTGAGTAACCCTTTCAATGCTGGCTAGATCCTCCTAGGCATATAATAACCTATTCTCATGTAATTTTCAATTAAAATAACAAACCAGCTCATTAATCCTTTCCTGGAACCATCCAAAAGAGTCAAATCTACAGATTCTATAAGCCGAATTTTAATTTGCCTAAAAAATATCTTATCTAATTTCAGAGCAAATCAACACACATGGATAAAAACAGCGGTATGCTAACACGTGGTAAGATACCAGTACTATGTAATTATCTGACTCCACCTGCAGAATTGAGTGTTATAACTACATATTCTTTATTTAATTAAGATTCCTCAATTATGGGATCTGACCGTGATTTATCCATGCATGTATCCTGCTATTAATAGATTTTAATGTAGATGTTCTCATCAGATGAGTAGGTAGTCCCAGGAACTTGAATGCGAGTATGATTGGTTGTATGGAGGTGTGTAAATAATAAAGAAAGTGATGTTGGTTAGAAATTAAAAGTAAAATTCTAAGTGTCAAGGAGTGTTTCTTGAGTTGTGTCCAAGAGAGTTTGAGAGTTGAGTGGTAGTCCCAGAGTGTCCTGAATATATCTGCATTTCAATCTGAAAGCCCACACTAACCTCTCTCTTCCCTTTTTGTTCCTAACTTTTAAAGGGCCAGACTCTCTGTACGTCATTAGTTGATAAGGCCAATAGGAAACTGTAGGTGTGTCTACGTTATCTAGTATTATCCAGTTTTTGGTCAATAGAGGGCACAATTGCCTCTTCAAAATTTTATGTCCTCGAAAGAGTTAACTTATTTTGATGCCGATTCTGATGTCATTTGGCTTATCTAAAATGACTACCATAACTTAAATTTGCTGTCAGTTCAAAGCGTTTGCCTCAGTCTTTGTGGCAACGACTTTGATCGTAATTTCTAGGATTGACATGTCTAAACTGAATATCACCCCTTACTTACAATGGGACCTTGTACGATTTAGAAAGTAAAATTAATTACTTAGTCTTCTCTGTCACTAGTGTCTGTGTTTAAAATTATTTATATTCCAATTACATTTAAGCAGAGCATTCCATCCCCCTGCTTCATTGCTTATCACTTGGCTTGTTTACATAATGCATTCCTTAGCTCAGGCTAGTGGCTAGTTACAGAAAGGAAATACATTTTGTGTCTGTCTTGCCTGAAATCCAAAATGGAGTCCGCTCTGTTCTGAGTGACTCTGGCAATATACACTTTTAATTTCTATCTTAGCACAAAATGTCTGCCGATATAAATATACTGACAAGGTTTAGACGACCTACGTTTATTGTTTGTATTTGAATCTGGCCAAATTTAAATGTTCAATAATTTTGTAACGAGAGCCAAACACACCTAATCCAATAGGCCAGGGACACAGGGGGAAAAGTTATCAGTTATCTTAGATAGCTCCGACACAGAACAGGCACTACACTACCCAGGCCATTAGGTACTCTGAACTCTCTAAGAGTACGGGGGCAACACGCAGAGGACCAACATATCCCAGAATCAACTCTGCCCCAAATGCATTCCATGGTCAGCCCTAACAAGGTTCCCAAGTTTGCACACAAGGTGCGGGGGGTGATCTGGTGCGCCCATGGGTCTGTAAGCACATGGGTTCATAGACCTATCAGGCCTAGAGCTCACAGAGCGCGATGTCTCCTTCTCATGATTAGTCACAATACTTCTCGGGAATTAGGAGACTGGGCTGAGACTGCTCTAAATATCCTGACATCCCACATAGAAGGCCAACACGCCACTGAGTCAACCTAATCCCAAATACACAGTACTCCCTGGCTAGACCAACAGGGCTTACAAGCTTACCCACAGAATGACAGGAACTAATACACCACAGAGCCCACCGGGCCTGGGACACATCGGGCATATTTTCAGTTTTATTGTTTAGGTTCAACATTGTCCAGGTTTTTGTAAATATATGTAAACTATAAGAATTAAGGCTCAAACCACCTGAATCTTTGGTGCTGAGGGCCATCGCATCCCTGGACCTGCCCGGTCACAGAGACATAGCAGACATTATTTAATTGCAGCACTGTTTAACTGGTCAACCACTCAGTAGGGAGCACTGACATATACTTGGGTCCTCCTGGCCTGGACACACAGATCAGATTGTACAGTCTTCACTCTAAGTAGGAGCCAGAGGCTCGTGGGTGCAGGGCCACTTGAACACTCCACTTGTAAAGGGATTCTAAGTAGAGGTCCATTGATCCCCTGAGCTTACCAGGTCTCTGACACATGACAACAAGACACAGATCGGGCACATAGAAGCCTTGGAGGTCAGTCAATTTGACACCCTTCAAGGCCTAGAAATGCTAGGACTGCAGAATACTACACTTGTTACAAAGCAATGTCCAATGTGTGCAATAACTTCTGCTTCGGTTTCCCCTAAGATACCCCCCAGCCCTCACCAAAATGCTTACCTGTCACTGTGGTAACGCGATAAGGGAAAAGATTGACTGAGGTCTAAAAGCTGCTCACAACCAATTGGGATCGGAACACCACACAGCGTCTGGTATGCCATCATATGCCAACAAATGAATCCACTTTGAACCTAAGGTAAAACCCAACATACTCCCAGGGAACACAGAGGACCACCCTCTAAACCCCACAGACACAACTCCACTCACTATGTGGAAGTCGGATCCACAACAGACCAGCAGGGGGCCTCCCGGCGAACCACCCCCTGGGCTCTCTCTTCCTCTGACCCCACACGACCTGGCATCTCAGGAATAAGCCCAGGAGTCCTCTTACCTATACCCAATCCCCCAGCATGCAGGCCTAGGGTCTAAATCCTACCCACCCCCATTTCCACCCACCCCGACCCACACTCTCTCCATCCCCACACATCAACCCCATAGAGGGAGAGCAAGCTGCCTCGGCCTCATCTGGGCCAGACTCTTGACCAGCCAGGATGACAGCCACAGTAACCTGCGTCTCCATAAAGATGTCCAAGAGACATCAACTAATGAGATGGGCCAGCAGAACAGCAGACCTGATACTACTGCAGGAAACCCATTTCACCCAAGCAAAACCTTTCCCCCTCCTGAACCAACACTATAAGGAAAGCCACACAGGCAACTCACCCCGAGACGTGCACAAGACGTGCCCAATAAACTTCAAACAGGTAGTTAAAGACCCCCAGGGGAGGTTCATCACGAACTCTGGCCAAGCAGGGAAAAACAACTATGCCATCACCTCACTTTATGCCCCGAACACCCCAGACAAACAATTCTGGGAATGGCTGCAAGCTCATCTTGCCCTATTCCCGTTCCACTATAAAACACTTGGGGGAGACTTCAACGCGACCATGTCCCCAGCACTAGACAGGCATCGCCCATGCACCAACCTATGCCACCCACAACAAAAGCAGACAAACTGCTAACCATGTTTGCAACACAACTGCCACTAGCAGACATCTGGAGGTTATGCAACCCTGCCACCAGGGACTACACGTTCTACTCCAACCCACACAATTCATACTTCCAGGTAGATCTCTTCCTCATCACCCCCTCACTATTACCCATGGTAAAATTGGCCACCATTTGGCTCCATTTCATGGTCGGACCACGCAGAGACCACACAGAAATACACTTCTGAAAGAAACAATGCACAAAGAAAAAAGCGAATACTTTATCCTTAATAAAAACAGTCTCTTCGGAGAGCACGCTATGGGTGGCACACAAGATGGACCAAAGGTGAAAACTCATTAACATAGCCTCCAAACATAAAAAAGAGCGGCTAGCTGCTCTAGCACAAACCCTCACGGATTTTTGAACATTAGAGGCACGACGCAAGGCCGACCCATCCCCGGACATACTAGCCCAAATGACGACATGCAGGAACACAATAAGGGACTTCATGGCCAGAGATGCGAAAAAAGCACTACAATGGTTCAAACAATTATTTTATGAAAAATCTAACAAGACTGACACACTACTGGCCCAGAGACTAAAACGCAGAGGAGCTCAAAAATTGCTCTCGTCACAGATATATATATTATAAAATGATAGCCAAGTTCAATAAGATTGGGGAAGCGCTACAACGCATTGACTGGCATAAACTCCTTAGTGATAAAAACACTGAGGATAAATGGAAACTATTCGAACAAATA